CTGGGGAGCTGTGAAGGTCAGTAGGAAGAACCTCTACACGTTTGGAAGCCAGCCATGGGCGCCTGTGCTGAGCCTGTCCTTGTTTGCCCGAGGACCTAGGGAAAGTCACCTCCTTCGTCTGAGTTTCCTGTTAGCGTGGTTGGAAATCACAACATCCATTCTTCCAGAATGTCATGAGCAAGCAAGGGGCTGAACGGCCATTTCTGTCTGGGTGAGCGCTGATTCTCAGAAAGAGTTTGGAAGCCTGCTGACAGTGACCCTAATCACACACCCCTCAGTTCTCTTGCTGGTCAGCTGATCAGCTATTTGTGACCAGTTCCTGTACAGTATATCATTTCTTGGAGAATTACTGTCCCCCACAAGTCTCTATTGTCTGTGTACCAAGCTCACATTAATCACTCAGGAATCCCATAGCAACTTATTGCTTGAAAAAATGTTTGATTTTGAGCCTTTTTTCCCCTTATTTTTTAAATAAGGGAGTGTTGCTTTTTTAATTCATGAGGCAGTTCCATACAAATGATTGGGATTAAGCATTGGCTTGATTGAAGTTTTGTTTTTGGCTTACTCCGAAGTGATGTACCCCAAGTCCGGTTATTTTCCCTCTCTGAGTCTTAGTTTCCTGGTTCATAAAATTAATAATATTTACCTTTGGACTTGGGAGAATTGGGCTGTTGAGAGAATTAAGTTGAGAATTCAGATGAGGTGGCTTATCCCATAGAAGTGCCATTAAGTAATTAAGAAGACTTTTTTTTTCACAATTCGACTCTATGTACGATCTAAATCCCTTTGGCGTCACTGGCCGTCTTCTTGATCTCGGTTCTGTTCTCAGGGCCTAGCAAAGTAGGCCTAAATCCCATTTCCACCTGGCCGTCTTTCAAGAATTTCCATTTGACCACAAGCCCCAATGCATGGCAAAGGGCCTCACCAGAGAAACTGAGGTGGGAAAAAATCGTGTATCCAGGGCTTCGCCACAATCTGGAAGGAGAACCAAGAAATTCTGACTTCTGCCCTGGAGTGATCGACCACTCCACACCTCCCTCCAAGAACAGAGGGGCCAGCCAGAGCTCTTGGAAAACTGCATCCCGCTTACACGGGCCACTGAAGTGCTGAAACACGGCCCTTTGATGTGGCCTCGGTCCATGATGCTGCTTTATTTCCATAAGCTGGAAGATAATCCTGGCCGCTAGAAGAACTTTAGTCAGGAGCACAGCATCGCCCCAGAGGCTTTTAGGGATTACCCACAGAAGGACTGGAGCCAGTTGGGCAATTCTGAAAAACGTTTTCATGCAAACCTGTTTGGTAAATATGCAAAATCGTTCTCTGAGTTGTTTTTATAACCCCACATCTCTATACTATCGCCATTCTTAGATAACCGGTTCATCCTTGCAGGTAGAAACAATATGTGAAGTAAGAGAGAGTTTGAGCAAGGAACCAGAAACTTGGACAAACTGTTCTGTGTGTTGAATGGGGACTATAAGAAATCTATGTACTGTCTTTCTGCCTGCTTGGGATGTGAGCATCATGGGATCCCTTGTTTAGAACTGAGACGAGCAGACAGTGAAAAAATACCTTCTGCTTTATGTGGTCCTGTCACACGGGGAATCCTTCCTGTCTCTAGATGATTTTGAAACTTGAGCTCCTAGCTGAAGACGGCTTATCGGGGATATCATGGCGGGACTATTTCACCAGGATATAGGGTAGGCTCACCATCTTTCAAGATTACTTTTAAACCAAGAGGTGATATTTTCTCC